CAATTGTCTCCGAAGCTCGGTGAGCTCGAGTTGTGACATTCTGTAAGGCATCTGGGCAGGTGGCTTCGCACCTGGCACCAACTCAATCTCATGGTCTATAGTGCGCCTAGGCGGGAGTCGCTTTGGCATTTCCTGTGGCATGATGCCTTCAAACTCCAAAAGCAACTCCTTCACAGGTGCAAGAATAGGACCCGAGAAGCGTTCTATATCTTCAATAAAGAGGGTAGCCAGGAATGTAGGTTCATGTCTTTTGACTCCCTTCTTCAACTGCAAGGCCGAGATGTTGTCAACGGCCATCTTCATGGTTGTGCATGGAATAATACATACATTGGCCCCGCTTGCTCCCTTCATCAGTAGTATGTCGGCATAAGGTACTAGAATGGTGTTGGTTTGCCTCATGAATTCTAACCCAACTATCAGCTCGAAGTCATCAATGATGACCACGCACAAGTTGACTTTTTCTTCATAAGGGCCAAGCTTCACTGGCACTCCTTTGGCTATTCCTCCCACCTGCCGAGGTGGATAGTTAATAGCCTTGACATGACCTCTGCCATTTCCCACAATTAGACCAAGGAATTCTACTTTTGTTTGTCGTTCTGCATCCTTCAACTTATGGCTCTCGTATGCCACTAGATGCCCCTCTTGTAGCAAGTCTCTGCTCAATGCATAGTTAGAGGCATCCGTCTGTACTTCGAATGGCTTGGCCAAATCAGGAAGGTCCAAGACGGGGCTACTAGATGTAGCCACTTTCAATGCGTTGAAGGCCTCCGCTCGCTTGGGACCCCAATCCCAAGGCGTGACCTTCTTCAGGAGTTCTATCATTGGCAATGCAATGGGAGAGTAATTCTTCACAAATCGCCGATAAAAGTTGCATAGGCCAAGGATCACCTTCAAGGTATGGATATCCTTAGGTGGCAACCAATATGTGATAGTCTGAATCTTCTGTTGGTCCATCTTTATCTGCCCTTCCTCGATGACATGTCCTAGGAAGTCAATCTACTTTTGGGCGAATGCGCACTTGGATGGCTTCACATATAGTTCGTGCTCCCGCAGTCGGGCTAGGACCTTCCACATGTGCTCCATGTGTTCTTCCAATGTTTTGCTATATATCACAATGTCGTCCAAGTAGACTACTACGAACTCGTCAATGTACTCTCGGAAGACTTGGTTCATCATTATGAAAAATGTGGCTGGAGCATTATTAAAGCCAAATGGCATGACCAGGAAGTCGTACAACCCATATCTTGTTACACAGGACGTCTTGTATTCATCTCCTTAAGCAATTCAGACGTGCTAGTAACCTATCCTCAGGTCTATTTTGGTGAACACTGTGGCACCATCCAATCTATCGAACAAGTCTACCATGAGCGGGATAAGGTACTTGTTCTTCATGGTGTTTTTGTTTAGGGACCAATAATCCACACATAGTCGTAGGGTGCCATCCAGTTTCTTTTGGAATAGCACAGGGGACCCATGAGTGGACTTAGAGGGCACAATGAGCCTCATGTCTAGCATTTCCATCAATTGTCTCTGAAGCTCGGTGAGCTCGAGTTGTGACATTCTGTAAGGCATCCGGGCAGGTGGCTTCGCACCTGGCACCAACTCAATCTCATGGTCCACAGTGCGCCTAGGCGGGAGTCGCTTTGGCATGTCCTGTGGCATGATTCCTTCAAACTCCAAAAGCAATTCCTTCACAGGTGCAAGAATGGGACCTGAGAAGCGTTCTATATCTTCAATAAAGAGGGTAGCCAGGAATGTAGGTTCATGTCTTTTGACTTCCTTCTTCAACTGCAAGGCCGAGATGTTCTCAACGGCCATCTTTATGGTTGTGCATGGAATAATACAGACATTGGCCCCTCTTGCTCCCATCATCAGTAATATGTCGGCATAAGGTACTGGAATGGTGTTGGTTTGCCTCATGAATTCCAACCCAACTATCAGCTCGAAGTCATCAATGATGACCACGCGCAAGTTGACTTTTCTTTCATAAGGGCCAAGCTTCACTGGCACTCCTTTGGCTATTCCACCCACCGACTGAGGTAGTGAGTTAATAGCCTTGGCATGACCTTTGCCATTACCCACAACTAGACCAAGGCATTCTACTTGTGTTTGTCGTTCTACATCTTTCAACTTTTGGCTCTCGTATGCCACTGGATGCCCTATTGTAGCAAGTCTCTGCCCAATGCATAGTCAGAGGCATCCGTCTGTACTTCGAATGGCTTGGCCAAATCAGGAAGGGCCAAGACGGGGCTACTAGATGTAGCCACTTTCAATGTGTTGAAGGCCTCTGCTCACCTGGGACCCCAATCCCAAGGCATGACCTTCTTCAAGAGTTCTATCAATGGCAATGCAATGAGAGAGTAATTCTTCACAAATCACCGATAAAAGTTGCATAGGCCAAGGATCACCCTCAAGGTGTGGATATCTTTAGGTGGCAGCCAATCTGTGATAGTCTGAATCTTCTGTTGGTCCATCGTTATCTGCCCTTCCTCGATGACATGTCCTAGGAAGTCAATCTGCTTTTGGGCGAATGCGCACTTCGACGGCTTCACATATAGTTCGTGCTCCCACAGTTGGGCTAGGACCTTCTGCATGTGCTCCATGTGTTCTTCCAATGTTCTGCTATATATCACAGTGTCGTCCAAGTAGACTACTACGAACTCGTCAATGTACTCTCGGAAGACTTGGTTCATCAATGTGCAAAATGTGGCTGGAGCATTAGTCAAGCCGAATGGCATGACCAGGAAGTCGTACGACCCATATCTTGTTACATAGGACGTCTTGTGTTCATCTCCTTTAGCAATTCAGACGTGCTAGTACCCTATCTTCAGGTCTATTTTGGTGAACACTGTGGCACCTCCTAATCTATCGAACAAGTCTACCATGAGCGGGATAGGGTACTTGTTCTTCATGGTGATTTTGTTTAGGGACCGATAATCCACACATAGTCATAGGGTGTCATCCTGTTTCTTTTGGAATAGCACAGGGGACCCATGAGGGGACTTGGAGAGCACAATGATCCTCGTGTCTAGCATTTCCATCAATTGTCTTCGAAGCTCGGTGAGCTCGAGTTGTGACATTCTGTAATGCATCCGGGCAGGTGGCTTCGCACCTAGCACCAACTCAATCTCATGGTCAACAGTGCGCCTAGGCGGGAGTCGCTTTGGCATATCCTGTGGCATGATTCCTTCAAACTCCAAAAGCATCTCCTTCACAGGTGCAAGAATGGGACCCGAAAAGCCTTCTATATATTCATTAAAGAGGGCATCCAGGAATGTAGGTTCATGTCTTTTGACTCCCTTCTTCAACTGCAAGGCCGAGATGTTCTCAACGGCCATCTTTATGGTTGTGCATGGAATAATACAGACATTGTCCCCGTTTGCTCCCATCATCAGTAGTATGTCGGCATAAGGTACTGGAATGGTGTTGGTTTACCTCATGAATTCCAACCCAACTATCAGCTCGAAGTCATCAATGATGACCACGCGCAAGTTGACTTTTCCTTCCTAAGGTCCAAGCTTCACTTGCACTCCTTTTGCTATTCCACCGACCGACTGAGGTGGTGAGTTAATAGCCTTGACATGACCTCTTCCCTTTCCCACAACTAGACCAAGGCGTTCTACCTGTGTTGAGGTTAAGTAGTTGTGAGTGGCGCCCGTGTCTATCATCGCCCGAATGGGCTTGCCATTACTTTTCATCTCGACGAACATCAAGCTCTTCCATTGGTTATGAAGATGCCCCTTATCTACCTTCTTTTTCCTTTTCTTGGTCGTTGGGCATGGGTCCTTCTTCTTACGTACCAGCCCTGGTTCATGCTAAGGCCTCAGATATAGAACAAACAAGTTCATTGAAGGCACCTATTGGTTCGGTATGGTCCGCATCATCTGTGTCTTCATCCGTCCCATCATCTAAAGTTTGATGGGCGTTCATCTATGCATTTTCATTATTCCAATATGGCTCGCCGCAATGATGGCATACTGAAGGGGGCTTCCTCCCCCGATCATTGTTGTTTGATGCATCACTGTTGCTGCCCGTATGATCAGCATGAGCACGGAGAATTCCCGAATGTAATCCCGCACTGGCTTGGTCTGGCAGATTTCCCGTAACTTTTTTCGCACATTGTACTCAATACTTTTAGGGAAGAACTCTAGGCGTATGGCTGCCTTTAGTTTGGCCCATGTCTTGAGAGTATCTTCACCGGCCCTGATGGCTTCGTATTTCACCCGCCACCAGAGTATAGCATCACCCTGAAGATACATGGCAGCAGTTGCTACCTTTTTTGCTTCTTCTAACTCCCCCACGGCATCAAAGTACTATTCCATGTCAAAGATGAAGCTATCCACTTCTTTGGCATTCCTAGATCCATCATATGGTTTTGGCTCAGGAATCTTCAGCTTTTGTGGCACAGGGGCGAGGTGCACATCACCCCTGATCTGGTTTCCGCCTCCTCGAAGTAGGCCTTGTAGTGCAGCATTGAAAACATTGAGCTGGCTTGTCTAGTATTCTATAGTTTGCTGCATGGCAGTCACCCTGTATGCCTCTTGTGCCATGTAGGCTAAATCTTTGGTATGCTCCTGTTGGAGGGCCCTCTTGTAGCAAGTCTTCTCCCAGATCATAGTCAGAGGCATCCGACTGTACATCGAATGGCTTGGCCAAATCAAGAAGGGCCAAGACAGGCTACTAGACATAGCCACTTTCAATGCGTTGAAGGCGTCCGCTCACCTGGGACCCCAATCCCAAGGCATGACCTTCTTCAGTAGTTCTATCAACGGCAATGCAATGAGAGAGTAATTCTTCACAAATCGCCGATAAAAGTTGCATAGGCCAGGAATCGCCCTCAAGGTGTGGATATCCTTAGGCGGAGGCCAATCTGTGATAGCCTGAATCTTCTGTTGGTCCATCTTTATCCGCCCTTCCTCGATGACATGTCCGAGGAAGTCAATCTATTTTTGGGCGAATGCGCAATTTGACGGCTTCACATGTAGTTCGTGCTCCCACAGTCAGGCTAGGACCTTCCGCAGGTTCTCCATGTGTTCTTCCAATTTCCTGCTATATATCACAATGTCATCCAAGTAGACTACTATGAACTCGTCAATGTACTCTCGGAAGACTTGGTTCATCAATGTACCAAATGTGGTTGGAGCATTAGGCAAGCCGAATGTCATGACCAGGAAGTCGTACCACACATATCTTGTCACACATGTCGTCTTGTGTTCATCTCCTTCAGCAATTCAGATGTGCCAGTAACCTGTGTTCAGGTCTATTTTGGTGAACACTGTGGCACCACCCAATCTATTGAACAAGTCTGCCATGAGCGGGATAGGGTATTTGTTCTTCACGGTGATTTTGTTTAAGGCCCGATAATCCACACATAGTCGTAGGATGCCATCCTGTTTCTTTTAGAATAGCACAGGGGACCCATGAGGGGACTTGGAGGGAACAATGATCCCCGTGTCTAGCAATTCCATCAACTATCTCCAAAGCTTGGTGAGCTCGAATTGTGAAATTTTGTAACGCACCCGGGCAGGTGGCTTCACACCTGGCACCAACTCAATCTCACGGTCCACAGTGCGCCTAGGTGGGAGTCGCTTTGGCATGTCCTGTGGCATGACGTCTTCAAACTCCAGTAGCAACTCCTTTACAGGTGCAGGAACGGGACCCGAGGAGCGTTCTATATCTTTAATATAGAGGGTAGCCAGGAATGTAGGTTCATGTCTTTTGACTCCCTTCTTCAACTGTAAGGCCGAGATGTTCCCAGCGGCCATATTTATGGTTGTGCATGGAATAATACAGGGATTGGCCCCGTTTTCTCCTATCATCAGTAGCATGTTAGCATAAGGTACTGGAATGGTGTTGGTTTGCCTCATGAATTCTAACCCAACTATCAGTTAGAAGTCATCTATGATCACCACGCGCAAGTTGACTTTTCCTTCATAAGGACCAAGCTTCACTGGCACTCCTTTGGCTATTCCACCCACCGATTGAGGTGGTGAGTTAATAGCCTAGACACAACCTCTGCCCTTTCCCACAACTAGACCAAGGCATTCTACCTGTGTTGAGGCTAAGTAGTTGTGAGTGGCACCGGTGTCTATCATCGCCCGAATGGGCTTGCCATTACTTTTCATCTCGACAAACATCAAGGTCTTCCATTAGTTAAGAGGAGGCTCCATATCCATCTTCTTTTTCCTTTTCTTGGTTGTTGGGCATGGGTCCTACTTCTTACGTACCAATACTGGTTCCCGCTAAGGCCTCAGATATAGAACAAACAAGTGCATTGAAGGCACCTATTGGTTAGGTGTGGTCCGCATCATGTGTGTCATCATCAATCCCATCATCTAAAGTTTGATGGGCGTTCATCTTTGCATGTGGGCATTCATTGTTCCAATGTGGCCTGCCGTAATGATGACATCCTGAAGGGGGCTTCCTCCCCCGATCGTTGTTGTTTGATGCAGCACTATTGTTGCCTGAGGAAGGAGCCTTAGATTTGGTTGCACTCCGATCTCCTCCACTTCTGCTAGGGCCACCATTTCTAGGCTGGCCCCCTTTGTATCCCGCTCGGACAGGCGAAGCTCCCGTACGTAATGCCGCACCGACTTGGTCTGGCAGAGCTCCCGTAGCTTTCTCCATGCATTGTACTCAACATTTTCGGGGAAGAACTATAGGCATATGGCTGCCTTTAGTTCTGCCCTTATCTTGAGAGTATCTTCACCGGCCCTGATGGCTTTATATTTCACCTGCCACCAGAGTATAGAATCACCCTGAAGATACATGGCAACAGTTGCTACCTTTTTTGCTTCTTCTAACTCCCCCATGACATCGAAGTACTGTTCGATGTCGAAGATGAAGTTCTCCACTTCTTTGGAATTCCTAGATCCATTGTATGGTTTTGGCTTAGGAATCTTCAGCTTTTGTGGCACAGGGGCGAGGTGCACAACACCCCTGATCTGGTTTCCGCCTCCTCGAAGTAGGCCTTGTAGTGCAGTATTGACAACATTGAGCTGGCCTGTCATGTTGTCTATAGTTTGCTGCATGGTAGTGACCCTGTATGCCTCTTGTGCCCTGTAGGCTAAATCTTTGGTATGCTCCTGATGGAGGCCCTCGAATTTACCAAAACTTTTGGCTGCCTCTGTGGCTGCCGTTTGCCGGTCTACCTCAGAGTCACAACTGATGTTCGCAATGTCACATTCGGCCTGCCGCATCCTGTGGTTCAGGTTGTCTAACCTTTGCACTAGGTTGGTTCTTAGATCAAGCACCATATTCACGATGGGTCATAATACATCAACCGTCTCTTCAAGGGCCGCAATGCGGTCCCTATGATTCATCATGGTCAGAAATGGTGGTAATGGCAATGTGTTCCCTCGTCTGATGTCGAGCCTAGGCTCTGATACCAATTGTTATGCGGCACCTTCCTGAGATTTTTTGGAAGGGCGACATAAGGCTAAGAAATCGATGTCCATGTAGTTACTATCCGTCAACTGGGGTCCCCTCCATACGCTAGATGAGATTATCAGTGTTGTACGGGAAAACCAATGTCATGAGCAATTGAGAGAACTGAAAAGAGAATTGAGAATGAAAAAAAGCTTGATCGCTTTAATGAAAGATATTATAGAAAAGCAATACGGAGTCGAGGGTGAGAGACACTAGTACAGAGAATTTTTTGCTTGCTAGAAAGTTTGATTTCTTGATTCCCCCTAATAGTACTTAAAAAAAATAAACCAAAGTTACAGGACTTGACATAGCTAAGCTAGAGAGACATAATAGAAATACATGAAGTAAACTACTCTATATTTACAATAGAAATGACTTAGATTCCTACAAAGCAGAAGCAGGTCCGTTGGCAGCAACCTTGCCTTTAGCATTAGAGTCTGCGCGCGCGGCGCTATTGGCATCTTCCTGTGGCTGGGTGCTGGCGAAGGCTATCGGTGGGGCGACATAGGCACAAGCGCACTTGTCACTTGGCGCGGCCAAGACCACAGGGCCGTCCATGGCGCTAGGCATTGGGAGGCTTGCCAGGATGCCATGGGGCGCGTCCAAGGGGTCATAGGGCATGGCTGGAAAGCCGCCCATGACAGTAACCATGTTATGAAGTATTCAAACATAGCCACATTTTACGTCTTTGCAAATATTGTCGATGTAAACGTTATAAAGATCTCTTCAATCATGTAGATGTAAACATTTCAAAGGTCTTTTACAAATTAAACCTATATCCTCTTTTCAAAGTACATATATTATTTTCTTTCAAAATGATGAGTTTTTAAAACATAACATAGAGTAAGTCACACACATTTAGCACTAACTAATGTAGAATATAGACATTTAATTACCCGAACCTAGTCTAAGTCCTATGGAGCTACCTCAGGTAGATTTTAGGGGGTGCCTAACACCTTCCCCTTATAAGAACAAGAACCCTTACCCAAATCTCACCGGTCAGTAGACAAATAGGATAATAATCTAATAAATAAATAGGTACCCTTGTATACCTTTAAATATTAGATGTCGTATCTTTTATCATTAACAGGGAAATTACTAGTTGAATCTTGTTTTGACTTACACAAAATACGGTGCAACAAATACAATAACCAAATAGATGCTACGAACCTAACTCATAGATAAGAAACAAAACACACAAAATAAGTATAATATCCATATTCAACATCTCACTGTTGCACGTGCAACCCGACGTGACAATCAATAAGGAAATACTCACCCAACCATAATGCTCATACCCACGAAATACCTGAATATCGACCACAAGCACGCCAAGTGCATAAACACAACCCTGGGGAGACAGATAACATCATTCGATACAAAAGTCTAAGCATGACTAAGGTGCAATAAACAACCAGCATATCGCTCAAATAATACCACAAGCTACGCCGGATCACAACACACGTGTGAATAATCAAGCCGTCTCACTACTCGCATGGCATAAAAGAGTAGCACCAGAAATAGACGAAGGCATGAATATCATCCACCACGCTCGATGACCCATCCACAACCGGTGCTATGCCGAATAAGCATATCCGGTCTGGTATAAAATATACATTCATATTCCCCTGCTCCTCCGAGCTCATGACATTCTTATCAAAAATGAATCGCAACCTTGATCCTCAACTTCCAATTTACATACCGCTCATTGCACCTATCATGCTGCTATGCGATAGTACAAGAATCCCATCATAACTCCTAAACCACCAGTAGAATAAACACTTCATCAAACTAGAAACCTTTCACTGAACTCATTTCAGAAGAATAATTGCAACATGGAACCAAATTCCCATAATCATAGAAAATGCAAACCTCAAGTCATGTTCTAATCCGCCATAACTCTTCCGGGATCCATTTACACATAACAAAACCATTAGAATCAAATACCTCCAAATCAATCAAATTACGGTGATTTCAAGCCCGTACTTACAACCACGAATCCCTTGTATAGCTTTACCACATTAAAGGAACCGATCATTTCCTTAACCATGCTGATCCAAACCACTATAACTGACTCAACTTCTTCCGATTTACCTTGACCTGCCTTCAAAACAATACCTCTATTCAAATACATAACGGACCTTAAACAACACTCATCTCCAGTGACCCTAATCATGAGACTGCATTGTCTCAATACCCATAAGCCATTTTATACTCTCCTCATGCACTCAATAGTATCTCAAACTGATATACCCATTCTGAAAGATCTTCTACGAATCTGAAGCTGTTTCCTTCCATTTTTCTAACACCACACCGTAGACCCCGGTACTAACATAGAAACACTCTAAGTCCCCTTAATAATGTGCTGCAAAACTCAATCCTTAACCACACAACGAACCCAAGAATCCTTAGGCACCGCACTTTTATTCTTGAACCCAAAAGAACCATTGTTGAGAATCACCCACTCTGACCTGGTCCCGAATATATAACCAAACACTAGTGCTCTATTAGCATATGAACACTTCCAAAGAAGCAACTAGATGAATTCTTTTCCTTGTACATCACATCCACAAGAAGTATGAAATCTAAGTCATCCCTAAATCTACACATGAATCGATAAGGCGAAATATAGCACACATTCATTAATTCCTTACCCGAATTACCCTTGATGTTTTCTTCCCTTAGTCATAACTAATCCACCAGTGTACCGCTAACCAGAGGTTGCCAAGGCACAACCACATAACCCAATGATCGACATTAGACTCCCCCACTTGGCTTTAAGCCATAATTGCCAAATCCAAGGACCAACAATGACTTCTCCTTTTTGCTACCATGATCCCACACCGTTACTCAGCCAAATTTTCTCACAAGCTCTTATTGCACTAATCATCACACATCTCGAATTAAAAGTCCCGAATGCACACTCATCTTCCTAACAGTCACACCATCTTCCCAAATGATACAAGCTCACATCGTAGTACATGCACCATGTTGGATAGAAAGTAGAACTTTTCATAGGAACTTCATCAGAACTCATGTAACTCCTAACCTCATCACAGGAGATAGCCCACCAGTGCAACCCTATATCGACATCTTCCAACGACACTGCCTTGGTTACAGACACCCCGAAATCAGTTAATCCTCCTGAGCCCATACTCATCCACCAACCATAAGCACCCGTTCATTTCCATCAACATCAAATAAAGGTATGTAGATGCATTCAAAACTCGAAGTCATATTACATCCCAAGCAAACTCTTTCTGTCATATCCAAACTTCCGAAGCACAGAATCCACTATCTCAAATGAAATACACAAACTTAGTCCCTTATTCACCAT